CAGTCTTGGGGTACCTGGGTGGCTGAGTCGTTAAGCGTCTGCCTTTGGCTCAGGTCATGGTCCCAGTGTCCTGGGATCGAGCCCCGCATCGGGCTCCCTGCTCAGCGGGAACCCTGCTTCTCCCTCTCCCACTCCCCCTGCTTGTGTTCCTGCTCTCGCTGTCTCTCTGTCAAATAAATAAAATCTTTAAAAAAAAAATCCAGTCTTAACATCTACTTTAAAACTCCAGTATCATCTGATTCAAAGCTTCTTCATTCCCATTCCTGGACAGGCTTGTGACTCAAGGGACCTGAACTGGAAAAGAGGTGGTCTCTTCTTTTATTTTTCCTTCCCCTTTGACTCATCTCCTCCCCCTTTTCCAAGCCTGTGTTTCTCACCACAAGTCCTTCAATGTTTTCAAACTTAAGACCCCCTCCTTTCCTCAAGCCTAAGTCTTCATTGAAGAAAAATCTCCAATTACTGGAGACATCTCCAGCTTTACTGGAGACATGACTACAATTGTCCCTTGTTGGTGGTCTCTGCTTCACTGGGGCACACAGACTCACCTTGTTCGCCCCAGTGTGCAGGAGGAATCTGAATGGTGACTTTCTTGTGGAGACTTATATGTAAATTCTCCCTGGACAGCATAATGTGCTGACACAGGAGATTTAACTGTAACCTCTTCTGCCTCTCATATCCTACTCCAAAAGTCAGCCTTCTTAGGTAGTGTACCTGCTAATGAGTTTAAGCTGAATTATTTCCCATGGTGTCTACTTACCCATAGAAAATACAGGTATTCTTGTCACCGTGACCCTGCTCAAGAATCGGTATCCCATAAGGTCCCATGTGCCCATACCCCAACACCACTACTTCGGAAATCAGTGTTCTGACTTTTAGGATAATTATTTCCTTGCTTCTTTATTGCTTTAGAACCTATCCATGTGGGTGCCTGGGTGGCTCAGTTGTTAAGCATCTGCCTTCGGCTCAGGTCATGGTCCCAGGGTCCTGGGATCGAGCCCCACATCGGGCTCCCTGCTCCGCGGGAAGCCTGCTTCTCCCTCTCCCGCTCCCATTGCTTGTGTTCCTGCCCTCGCTATCTCTCTCTCTGTGAAATAAATAAATAAAATCTTAAAAAAAAAAAGAACCTATGCATGTATCCCTATATTGTTTTGCTTTACTTGTTTTGAAGATTCTCTCTCTCCTGTCTGTATAAAGTTACCGTAACTAAGACAGTGAGGGAAATATGTAAGGATACACAAAATGACCAATGAAACAGAATAAAGAACCCAGAATCAGACCCACATATCTATGGAGCTTTAATAAATGGCAGAGTTGACACTGCCGATAAGTAGGGAAAGAAAATTCTGTTTAATAAATGGTGCTGATACAATTGGATATCCATATTTTTAAAAAATAAATTTAGATTCACCCCTCACACCTTATAAAAAAATCAACCTAAGATGGATTAAAGGCTTAAATATTACAAAACAAACATTTGAAATTTTCAGACAGTATATAGAATATCTTTTCAGACAATATATAGAATACAGTTAAGTATAAGGGAATTATCCCAAGATTAAAGAGCTGATATCTATACATATCTATACATCTGACATGTATCTATATAGAGATTTATCTCTGTTTTAGTTACTGTAGCTTTGTTATAAATCTTGATATCTTCCAAAGAAGATTATAAATCTTTAAAAAATCTTCATTTTAAAATCTTTTTTAAATTGAAGTATAATTGACACACAAGGTTTTCATTATTTTTAAATTTATATACAGTAAAAGTCACTCTAAGTGTATAGTTCTAGGACTTTTGACAAATACATAGAGTCATGTAGCTACCACCACAGTCAAGATACAAAACAGCTCGCTCCATCACTCCCAGATCTCCCTTGTGCTGCCCCTTTATAGTCAAACCCTATCTCCACCTTTAATCTGAGGCAACCAGTGATTGGTTCTGGGAATCTCCATCAAGTATAGTGATGAAGATCATAATACTTCTGCCTTTTCCAGTATGTCATTTAAATGGAATCATACTTTATGTAGCCTTTTGAGTCTGGCTTCTTTCATTTTGTGTAATGTATAAGAAACTCATGGATGTTGAGTGTATCAACATTTAGTTCCTTTTTACTGCTTATTACATTCTATGAATGTACCACAGTTTATCTATTATTCAGTAGTTGAAGGACATGTGGATTTTTCCAGTTTGGGCAATCATGAGTAAAGTAGCTATAAACATTGGCGTACAGGTTTTTGTAAACAAATCTTCTTGGGAAAATACCTAGTAGTGGTATTGCTGGGTTATATGGAAAGTGTATGTTTAACTTTTAAAAGAAACTCTGACTTTGTGGCTATACCATTTTGCATTCCATTTTTTCCAATTTTTTTATTGTGGTAAAATACACATAATGCAAAACTTAAACCATCTTAACCAGTTTTAAGTGTACAGTTTAGTGGTATTAAATACATTCATAGTGTTGTACACCGTCACTACCATCTGCCCTCACAACTCTTTGATCTTATAAAACTGAAACTCTATATACATTAAACAATAAATCCCTATTACCCACCCCCCACAGCCCCTAGCAATTACCATTCTACTACTGTTCGTCTCCATGATTTTGATTATTCTAAGTACCTTATATAGGTAGAATCATACAGTCTTTGTCTTTTTTGTGACTGGCATTATTTCACTTAGTATAATATCCTCAAGGTTCATCCATATTGTAGCACATATCAGAATTTCCTAACATTGTAAGACCGAATAATACCTCATTATATGGCTATACCATGTTTTGCTTATTCACTTATCCCTCAATAGGCACTTGGATTGCTTACATGTTCTAGCTATTGTGAATAATGCTGCTATGAACATGGGTGTACAAGAATATCTTTGAGACCCTGCTTTCAGTTAACTTGAGTATATAACCAGAAGTGTAATTGCTAGATTATATGATAATTCTATTTTTGATTTTCTGAGGAACTGCCTTACTGTATTCTACACAGCAGCTGTACCATTTTTTACATTGTCATTAACAGTGCACAGGGTTCCAATGTCTCCACGTCTCCACCAACACTTGTTGTTTACTTTTCTTTCCTTTTTTTCCCTTTTTTTTATAGTACCCATACTAAAGTGTGTGAGATAATATCTCATTGTAGTCCTTTGTCCATTTTTGAATCAGATTGTAGATTTCTCTATATATTCTGGATATGAATCCCTCATCAGATACATGATTTCGCAAATACTTTCTTTCATTCTGTGGGTTGCATTTTTACTCTGTTGACATTATCCTTTGATATACAAATTTGAAAATTTTTCTTTCTTTTCTTTTTTTTTAAGATTTTATTTATTTATTTGACAGAGAGAGACAGTGAGAGAGGGAACACAAGCAGGGGGAGCTGGAGAGGGAGAAGCAGGCTCCCTGCTGAGCAGGGAGCTAGCCGCGGGGCTTGATCCTAGGATGCTGGGATCACAACCTGAGTGAAAGGCAGATGCCCAACAACTGAGGCACCCAGGAGCCCTGAAAAATTTTCATGGTAACTAATTAGTCTATATATTTTTTGTTGCCTGTGCCTTTGGTGTCATATCGAAATCATTGCCAAATCCAGTATTACGAGGATTTTGCTCTGTTTTTTTCTAATAGTTTTATAGTTTTAAGTCTTACATTTAGGTCTTTGATCCATTTTGAGTTAATTTTTATATATGGTGTTAGGTAAGGGTCCGGCTTTATTCTTTCGCATGTGGATAACCAGTTTTCCCAGCACCATCAAATGGTCTTGGCAGCATTGTCAAAAATCATTTGACCATGTATGCAAAGGTTTCTTTCTGAGCTCTCCATTCTATTTTATTGGTTTATATGTCTATTTTAATGCCTCTCCCACACTGTTTTGATTACTGTAGCTTTTGTGTACTAAGTTTTGAAGTCAGAAAGTATGAATCCTCCATCTTTGTTCTCCCTTTTTAAGATTGTTTTGGCTATTCAAGACCCCTTGAGATTCCACATGAATTTTCTGTTTATATTTTTTAAAAGTCACTGGGATTTTGATAGGGATTGCATTAAATCTGTATTTTGCTTTGGATAGTATTAACATCTTAACAACTTTGTCTTTCAATTCATGAATATGAGATATGTTTCCCTTTATGTCTTCTTTAATCTCTTTCAGCAATATTTTATAGTTTTCGTTGCACAAGTCTTTTACTTCCTTTTGTTAATTCCTAAGTATTTTATTCTTTTTGATGCTATTGTAAATGGCATTGTTTTCATAATTTCCTTTTCAGATTGTTCATTGTCAGTGCATAGAAATGCAACTGATTTTTGAGTGTTGACTTTGTATCCTGCTACTTCGTTGAATTCATTTATTAGTTTTTTTTTTAAGATTTTATTTATTTATTTGACAGAGAGCACAAGTAGGGGGGAGTGACAGGCAGAGGGAGAGGGAGAAGCAGGCTCCCCTATGAGCAAGGAGCCCAATGTGGGGCTCAATCCCAGAACCTTGGGATTATGACCCAAGCCAAAGGCAGATGCTCAACTGATTGAGCCACCTCGGTACCCCCATTTTAGTTTTAACAGGTTTTTTAAAATAGAATCATTAGAGTTTTGCACATAAAAGATCATTTCATCTATGAACAGAGGTAACTATTACTTCCTTTACAATTTGGATGGCTTTTTTATTTTTATTTTTTGGTGATCATATTTATTGAAAGGGTTGGAAAAAAATAAAAATGCCGTATAGCTTAAGAATTTTTGAGTTATCTGCAAATCAATTCATTTCAGGACTGGGAGAATACTTAGTCATTTCTTAATATCAAAATTTACACAGGTTTCTCTTTTGAATGTCTTCTACATTTAAAGAGGCAATCATACAAAGTCTCCTATATTCCATACATGATAAATTCTTTATTTCAGCCAATTCTTGATGGAAGGGCAACTAGTATAACACCATCTCTCCAGAGAACATCAAAATATTCCATTTTGGGGGCGCCTGGGTGGCTCAGTCATTAAACGTCTGTCTTCGCCTTTCCGAGCTACCCGGGGAAGGGTCCATACGGCGTTGTTTTGCGTTCCCGTCGTAACTTAAAGGGAAACTTTCACAATGTCCGGAGCCCTTGATGTCCTGCAAATGAAGGAGGAGGATGTCCTCAAATTCCTTGCAGCAGGAACCCATTTAGGTGGCACCAACCTTAACTTTCAAATGGAACAGTACATCTACAAAAGGAAAAGTGATGGTATCTACATCATAAATCTGAAGAGAACCTGGGAGAAGCTTCTGCTGGCAGCTTGTGCCATTGTTGCCATTGAAAACCTAGCTGATGTCAGTGTCATATCGTCCAGGAATACTGGCCAGCGAGCTGTGCTGAAATTTGCTGCTGCTACCGGAGCCACTCCTATTGCCGGCCGCTTCACTCCTGGAACCTTCACTAACCAGATCCAGGCAGCCTTCCGGGAGCCAAGACTTCTGGTGGTTACTGATCCCAGGGCTGACCACCAGCCTCTTACAGAGGCGTTGTATGTTAACCTGCCTACCATTGCTCTGTGTAGCACAGACTCTCCTCTGCGCTATGTGGACATTGCCATCCCTTGCAACAACAAGGGAGCTCACTCAGTGGGGTCTGATGTGGTGGATGCTGGCCAGGGAAGTTCTGCGCATGCGTGGCACCATTTCCCGAGAATACCCATGGGAGGTCATGCCTGATCTCTGCTTCTACAGAGATCCTGAAGAGATTGAAAAGGAAGAGCGGGCCGCTGCTGAGAAGGCTGTGACCAAGGAGGAATTTCAGGGTGAATGGACAGCTCCAGCTCCTGAGTTCACTGCTACTCAGCCTGAAGTCGCAGACTGGTCTGAAGGCGTGCAGGTGCCCTCGGTGCCTATTCAGCAGTTCCCTACCGAAGACTGGAGCGCCCAGCCGGCCACTGAAGACTGGTCTGCAGCTCCCACTGCTCAGGCCACTGAATGGGTAGGAACAACCACTGAGTGGTCTTAAGCTGGTCTTCCACAAAGGCAAACAAAATGGAAATAGAAATGGAAAAGGCTGACGGAAAATAAACAGTTTGTAAAAGTCGAAAAAAAAAAAAAAAGTCTGCCTTCGGCTCAGGTCATGATCCCAGGGTCCTGGGATCGAGCCCTGCATTGGGCTCCCTGCTTGGCGGGAATCCTGCTTCTCCCTCTCCCACTCCCCCGGCCTGTGTTCCCTCTCTTGCTGTGTCTCTCTCTGTCAAATAAATAAATAAAATCTTTTAAAAAAAGAGAGAATATTCCATTTTGTTGATTTATATATCTCTTTGTATGTTTCCTCGTCAGTTTCTATAGTAGTCACAGTTTTCTTCCACATCTCCCAATATCATATTTAAATGCTGATCATTGGCATGTGATCTTCCTCAAAGCTCTCTGTCATTTCTTATTTCCACATAAGTTCACTCATCCAGGCTGAGCCTAATAAGATCCAGGGGCTCTTCTACGGTGTTGGTAGTTTATTGCTGGTCCACGTCGTCTGCTATGTTTCAAACCCTGTGCCCTTTCCCTTGGATGCCTTTTATTTTTTTTTCTTGTCTAATTGCTCTGGCCAGAACTTCCAGTACTATGTCAAATAGAATGGTGAAAAGAATGACTAAAATAGAATGGTGAAAGCAGCATTCTTTCCTTTTTCCTGATCTTGGAAAGCCTTCAGTCTTTCATCATTGAGTATAATGTTTATTGCAGGCTTTTCATATATGACTTTTATTATGTTGAGGTAGTTTGCTTCTGATTGTAGTTTGTTGAAATTTTTATCATGAAAGAATGTTGAATTTTGTTAATTGATTTTTATGTATCTGTTGAGATGATCATGATTTTTAGCCTTCATTCTGTTAGTGTGGTGCATTACACTGATCAATTTTCGTGTGTTGAATCATCTTTGTGTTCCAAGAGTAAATCCCTCTTTGTCATTGTGTATAATCCTTTCAGTATGCTGCTGAATTCAGTTTGCCAGTATTTTGTTGAAGGTTTTTGTGTCTATGTTCATCAGGGAATTTGGTCTATAGTTTTCTTTTCTGTAGTATCTTTGTCTGGCTTTGGTATCATGGTAATGCTGGCCTCATAAAATGAGTTAGAAAGTATTTTCTCCTCTTCAGTTTTGGGGAAAATTTGAGGAGGATGGATATTAGTCTTTCTTTAAATGTTTGGTATATTTCACCAGTGAAACCATCAAGTCCAGGGCTTTTGTTCATTGAAAGATTTTTTTTTTATTAGTGATTCAGTCTTCTTACTAGTTATGTCTAGTCAGATTTTCTACTTCTTTGTGATTTAGTTTTGATGGGTTTTGTGTTTCTAGGAATTTGTCCATTTCATCTAGGTTATACAGTTTTTTGGTGTACAGTTGTTCATAGTATTCTCATAATCCATTTTATTTCCATAGAATGATAAGTTGTAGTGTCCCCATTTTCACTTCTGATTTTAGTAATTTGAGTCTTCTTTTTTTTTTCTTAGTCCGTCTGGTTAAAGGTTTGTCAATTTTGTTGATCTTTTCAAAGAACCAACTTTTGATTTCATTGATTTTCTCAATTTTCCTATTCTCTATTTCATTTATCTCTGTTCTGATCTTTAGTATTTCCTCCTTTCTGCTAGCTTTGGGTTTCATTTGTTCTTTTTTTGTAGTTCCTTAAGTTGTAAAGTTAGAGTGTTGATTTGAGATCTTTCTTATTTGTTAATGTAAGCATTTATCACTATAAATAACCTCCTTAGTATTGCTTTTGTTGTATCCCATAACTTTTGGTATGTTGTGTTTTCACCTTTATTCATCTCTTAAGTATTTTATAGTTTCCCTTGTGATTTCGTCTTTTATCTAGTTGGTTTATTGTGTTGTTTAAGATCTCTGCTTCCAGATGGTAGTCCTATTCATTATTGAGAGTGGGGTATGTAAGTCCCCAGTTGTTATTGTAGAACTCTTTCTTCTTTTAGTTCTATTTATTTTTGCTTCATGTATTTTTTATGGTCTTTTATTAGGTGTGCAAATACTCATAATTGTTATATATTCTTGCTGTATTGAACCTTTTATTAATATATAATGTCTTTCTTTGTCTCTTGTAAACTTTTTCAGTTTAAAGTCTGTTTTGTCTGATATTAGTATAGCCACCCCTGCTCTCTATTTTTATGGTGTATCTTTTTCCATCTTTTCAATCTATTTGTGTCTTTGGATCTAAAGTGAGTCTCTTTAGACAGAATAGACAGGATATAATTGGATTGTGTGTTTTTATCCATTCTGAAAATATGTCTTTTGATTAGATAATTTAATCTATTTACATTTAAAGTAATTACTGATAAGGAGAGATTTACTGCTATCATTTTGCTCTTTGTTTTCTATATGCCTTATAGCTCCTCCATGCTTATTACCTTATTATTGTCTTCTTTGGTATTTGTTGTTGTTGTTGTTGTTGTTTTGTAGTGAAATGTTAAAATTTCTTTCTCATTTCATTTTCTGTATATTTTATAGCTATTTTCTTTATGGTTACCATGGTGATTACATATAACATCCTAAAGTTAGAGCACTCTAATTTGAATCCCCACCAATTTTTCAATTACATATAAAAATTCTCCTTTATACCTCCATCACCACCCTTTTTGGCTGATGATGTCACAGATTACATCTTTATATATTTTGTGCCCCAAAACATAAACTAATAATTCATTTCAATGCACTAGTATCTTAACTTATGTAGAAAACCAAATGTGGAGTTATAAACATAGGTTACAATAAAACCAGTTTTTAGACTAATAATTTTTTTAAATGTATTGGTTTCTTGAAATCATCTCTTTTGGGGCACCTGCATGGCTCAGTTGGTTGAACATCTGACTCTTGATTTCAGCTCAGGTCATGATCTCAGGGTTGTGAGATTGAGCCCCATGTCAGTCTTGAGATTCTCTCTCTCCCTCTCTCTCTTCCCCTCCCCTTCCCCTGCTCTCTCTCTCAAATAAGTAAATCTTAAAAAAAAAAAAAGAAATCAGCTCTTTCATGTAGAAAATAAAAAATGGAGGTGCAAACTATTGTTACAGTAATACTAGCTTTTATAATCACCCATAACTTACCTTTTTTTGAGATCTTTATTTCTTCGTATGGCTCAAATTAACTTCTAGTGTCCTTTCATTTCACCCTGCAGAACACTCTTCAGCATTTCTTGTAGGCAGGTCTAGTGGAAATGAACTCCCTTAGATTTTGTTTATCTGAGAATGTTGGAATTACTCCTTTTTTTTCCTTTTCCAATATAAGCATTTAATCATGTAAATGTCCTTTTATTTTTTTATTTTTTTATTTTTAAAGATTTTATTCATTTATTTTGACAGAGAGAGACACAGCGAGAGAGGGAACACAAGCAGGGGGAGTGGGAGGGAGACGCAGGCTTCCCGCAGAGCAGGGAGCCCAATGCGGGGCTCGATCCCAGGACCCTGGGATCATGACCTGAGCCAAAGGCAGACGCTTAACGACTGAGCCATCCAGGCGCCCCAATGTAAATTTCCTTTTAAACATTGCTTTAATTATAATACAGAAAATTTGACATGTTGTATTTTCATTTTTGTCTAGTGCAAAATATTTTCCAGTTTCCCTTAACAATTCTTCTTTGACCCATAGGTTATATTTAAGTGTGTTGTTTAACTTTCAAACATGTGGGGGTTTTAAGGTATCTTTGTTTTTTTTATTTCTAGTTTAATTCTGTTATGGTCAGAGAACATACTGTGTATTTTATTTTTTTAAATTGTTATAGCTTGTTTTATGGGACAGATATGATCTTGGTGGATGCTGCATGCGTTAGAAAATAATGTGTATTCTGCTGTTGTTGAAGTATTCTAGATATGTAAATTAGATTATGTTGTTGATAATGTTATTTAGGTCTTTTATGTTCTCATTGATTTTTTGTCTGCTTGGTCTATGAATTATTCAGGGAGGAGTGTTGAAGTTTCAAAGTGTAATTGTGAGTTCTCTGTTTCTCCTACCATTTTTATAATTTTTTGCTTCATGTATTTGAAGCTCTGTTTTAAGATGTATGTACATTCAGGGTTGTTTTGTCTTCTTTATGAATTGATTTTTTTTTAACATTTTATTTATTTATTTGACAGAAACAAAGCGAGAGAGAGAACACAAGCAGGGGGGAGTGGGAAAGGGAGAAGCAGGCTTCCTCCCGAGCAGGAAACCCGATGCGGGACTCGATCCCAGGACCCTGGGACCATGACCAGAGCTGAAGGCAGACGCTTAACGACTGAGCCACCCAGGCGCCCTATGAATTTATTTTTTTAACATTATGTAATGTCTTTCCTTATTCCTGGGGATTTTTTTTACTTTCTGTAATCTGCTTTGTGTATTATCAACCCAGCCGCTCTAGATTTGTTTTGATATTTGCATAGGATATCTTTTACCATCCTTTAGTTTTTAAACAGCCTTATTGAATCCCTGAATATGACTTTGAGTTTTTTTTCTATTTAGGATTTGATGAACTTCTTGAATCTGTGAATTTCTATATTTCACCATATTTGGGGAATTTTCAATCATTATTTCTTCAAATATTTTTTTCTTCACCAATCTCTTTTTCCCTCGTTCTTAGACTTTTGATACTGTCCTATAGGTCCCTAAGGCTCTGCTCATTTTATTTGCAATCTTTTTTCTCTCTGTTCTTCAGATTGGATTATTTCTGGTGCTCCTGGCTAGCTTAGTTGGAAGAGCATGGGACTCTTGATCTCGGGGTTGTGAGTTTGAGCCCCATGTTGGGTGTAGAGATTACTTAAAAGTAAATCTTTTTTTTTTTTAAAGATCAGATAATTTCTAATGATCTATCTTCATGTTCCATCTAATGAATTTTTAAATTTCCATTATTTTACTTCTTGGCTATAAAATTTCCATTTGGTTCTTTTTTTTATGGTTTCTGTTTCTCTGATGAGAACTTCTATTGTTCCATTAATTTCAAGAGTGTTCACCTTTACCTCACGGAGAGTGTGGTTATAATAGTTTAATGTCTTTATCAAGTTTTTTTTTTTCCCTAATAAGCAAAATGGTGGAATAGGAGGTCCCCAGCTCACTTCCCCCTACACAAACAACAATCTGGCAGCCATCCACAG